TATTACACCTTAAGATTACCTGTCCTAACGTAAAATTACCCTAACCTAACCTAACCTAACCTAACCTAGAGACTCAGAGTAGCAAACAGAGGAAGAATAACAATAACAAGACTAATAACAACAATAACAAGAGCAACAATAACACTCACAGCAATTAACAGACCAAACCCAACCACAACAACCACAACAACAACAACCACGTCATCAGTCACAACCACAATTACGACGATAATGAGATACAAAAAAAATGTTGAGGATGATAATGACGAGAGACGCTGAAAAAAACACGAAGGAGTAGTGGACGAGGCGGGAGGACAAAGTGGCCATCACTCTGAATGACAGGGAGAGGGGGAGAGAGAGGGGGTGGGGAAGGGGAAGGGGTGGGGGAGGAGAGAGAGGGTGGGGGAAGAGAGAGGGGGTGGGGGAGGAGAGAGAGGATAGGGAAGAGAGAGGGAGTGGGGGAGGAGAAGGGATGGTAGGGGGAAGAGGGGTGGAGAGGTGCTATGAAAACAAAAGAGAATTGTTGTCGGAAGAGGAAACTAGGAAACACGACGTCACTAGGGAGGGGTCTCAGGGGCTACCAACATATATTATTATTAACTCTACTGTATTTTCCCCAAGTATTGACAGTAATGATTACGTTGGGAACTTAATTAGATATTGCAAATTGGATAAATAATCATACTAATTATTGAACAGCCAATGTAATTAGTGTCAGGAGGTATGGTATGGACATCATTAAAGAGAGATAGCAGCTAGCGACGCCTGGTAACACTTCCCTTAGGCGGGTATAAATAAGGAACCAGAGACTCACACACCGACCCAGAAAGAAACCTTTATTTTCTTCCCTTGGTCCTCCCGTCTATCAAACATTGACGGTTATTACATAGACGGGGGACCTTCTCCTCCTCCTCCTCCTGTCCCAGTGGCCGGCGTCCCGTCTGATGGAGGTCAGTACGAGGATAGATGAACTGATGTTCGTTATACTTAATGATGGAGCTGTCAGCCCACCAGGCACCGACGGCTGACAGCGATACTTTGATATTATACTCAATAATGAAGACGTCATCAGCGTATAAGCAATAAAAAAACAAAACAAAAGATAAATAATCAAGCAAAACCCTCTTTAATAATTCCCATGAGGGGGGGTAGAGGGGGGTAGAGGGGGGTAGGGGGGGTGGTTTACTATCATCACCAACAGACAGACAGATGAACAAGGATAATCACCCCTAGTTGAAGACCTTAAGACAATGGTAATAACGTCTCGTGGACCCATTGGCATGCTCCATATCAGATCCATTTATTAGGACTAAGTAATCATTAATCTCCTCCACATTACTCCACTCAACTACTTCACCATAACTACCTCCACAAACTACCATTCCATCTCAACTGTCTTTCCATTTTGTGGTGCCATTGTCTCCCTTCTTTCACTTAGTTTCAATCAGCTGTCTAGTTAACCATTCCATTTCAAATTACCTTTCTCATATTCCCTTCCAACCAATTTACTTATCCATTTCTGACAGTCCACTCAACCATTCCATCATAATTCTTGGTTAATTCTCCTCTCCCATAAAACCTATATCCTAGCTGCTTCTTTTCCATTTAGTGATTCCATTTTTAGTTTATCATTACGACAACTTTAATCAATTCATCAATTTCAATTACCTCTCCACTCTACTAGCGACCTTCATTCAATTGTTCCATGTAGATTACTTTCCCAGGCTTTCATTCGAGTCATTTCCTTCGACCCTTCCATTTCAGTTACTTTTCTAATCTACCATTCCATCTACACCACTCAACTCTCAGGATCAACCCATCTTTAAAACACATTTCGACTGGCAGCTGTTTCTCCATCCCTTTAACCTTTCCATCAAAGTTACCCCTCTTATCTATCCTTCACCATTCCAATATTTACATGTCAGTGCACTCTCTCTCTCTCTCTCTCTCTCTCTCTCTCTCTCTCTCTCTCTCTCTCTCTCTCTCTCTCTCTCTCTCTCTCTCCTTCTCTCTCTATCTCTCTCTTCAGTCATAAGTCTACTTCATCTCTCAATGCAATATCCTCTCTCCCCTTGTGATCCTTTAAAGCAATTAATTTAGCTGGCGGGTTACATTATACGCTGTTTCTACCGATGGAGGCCCAGTTGATCTTCCGCTGACTTATGAGCTTTCGGGGAGGCCAAGAACTGGATTACCTTTCCAGAAAATGATGTCTTTCCATAATTAAAAAAAAATAAATTCTCGTCGTTTATGAAAGCAGACCAGATGCTCCTCCCTTACCTGTAAAAGTTCACCTGGGGATTTAAATTTCTGTGATGATCTTACCTGAGGGAGTTACTTATTATAATTACCTGGAAATTTAACTAAGATTTGTTTATTTTTTCAGTCATATAAATTATCTTTTTTCTTGTTTCATATTAAGTAATTTATTTCATTTTAGTTTCATTAAAGTAAACAAAAGATGTCTGTATCGAAAATAAAAGTTGGTTCATAGAAAAACAAAAGTACTAGAGTTTAAAGACAATTAGTTAAGAGTTTATGTTAGATATTTCAGCTCAAGTCAACACCATACAGTCCATCTAACTCTCCTGACTGTCTCATGAAAACAGTTTACTACAGCTTCCAGTTAACAACAACACTTTGCCTCAGTCACCATACGTCACCATACAGCGGGGGGAGGGGGGGGGTATTGTTGTTTTTCCTTGTTTCCAGCCAATAAGATCAGTTTTCTCATCCTTCAATAACACCAAACAAAAAATCAAACCAAAACAATAACACTAATAACAATAGCTTAGATCTTTACCTATTACAATAACCAAATTTTTTACCACCTTTTAATCTATGAATTTACTTTACCTCACCTTTAATCAACTAAATAATCACATCACGTAAACTAAACTTATTTATTTCTCTTACCAGTACAATACACTCTTGGAAATAAAATAAAAAATATCGCCATCATTATCTTCAGTTTGTAAGGTTTAGTTTCCCTCAAAATCACCTACAAAAAAGAAATGATTTAGCCTCAATCTTCCGGAATATGGAAAGCAAAATTCTATCTCCCTTCCAGTTTCCCTTAAGAGGTCTATCTCCACTTTTATCCTCCTAAACTAACCTAATCTTCCTCCCCGTCCGATAAAACTAGCTTTATTTCTGCCCCTATCTTCCTACTACCTCTACCCCCATTTTCCCTACGACCATCCTCTCCTCCCTACCCCATATCCCCCCCCCCCACTACTCTCTCTGACTCTCCTGTCCTCTTCTCCCCACGGCCTCCTCTTCTCCCCACGACCCACCTCTCCCTCTCCCCACTACTTCTCCTCACATCCCTTGTCCATCAGCTGAGCAACCACAAGGACGGTTAGGCTGACTTTTTCGTAGCTTCCAGGTTCCAGGTTCCAGTGCTCCAGATTCGAAGGGTCCAAATTCCAAGTTTCATGGCTCCAGATTACAGGTTGCAGGTTCCAGGTTCCAGCTTCCAGGATTCCAGGTTCCTGTAGGCCTCTATAATCTTGAGACGCCTTCAGATTGACCATTAACGACGAGATATTGTTGTGTTTCCTGTCTTCTTCTTCTTCTTCTTCCTTTTTTTTCATCATCATCATCATCATCATCATAATCATCATCATCATCATCATCATCATCATCATCATTATCATCATCATCATCTCTTTCTTCTTCTTTTATTTCACTTTTCATTGCATTCTACCTTCCGTATTTCTTATCACCTTTCTTAATTACTTTCTTCTTGTTTCTTAGTCCCTTCCGTTAGTTAGAGCTACACATTTAACAGACCCTCGATATAACGGACTTCTTTCTCCATATAATCCGTTATATATGGGCTTCACATTTGGAGGGGTAGGAGGCAGGGAGACGGTGAGGCAGGGAGAAGGGTGAGGCAGGGAGACGGTGAGGCAGGGAGAAGCGTGAGGCAGGGGTGAGAGGCAGTGGTGAGAGGCAGGAGAGAGTTGTACTAGCGGCAGTCAGGGAGGAGATTAACCCCCCGGCGATGGGATGTTCGTCAACAGTTTTTTGCCCCATAAGTGGATGTCTGGTAGGGTGGTTTATTACTAGTGGGAGGCAGCTCGTAGGGAGGGAGGAGGGAGTGAGGCAGCTCGTAGGGAGGGAGGAGGGAGTGAGGCAGCTCGTAGGGAGGGACTAGGGAGTGAGGCAGCTCGTAGGGAGGGACTAGGGAGTGAGGCAGCTCGTAGGGAGGGAGGAGGGAGTGAGGCAGCTCGTAGGGAGGGACTAGGGAGTGAGGCAGCTCGTAGGGAGGGAGGAGGGAGTGAGGCAGCTCGTAGGGAGGGAGGAGGAGTGAGGCACTGGGGAGGAGGGGGAGTGCAGATCAACTACAAGTCCGTACCACAAGGTCTACCCGCACCACAAGGTCTACCCGCACCACAAGGTCTACCCACACCACAAGGTCTACCCGCACCACAAGGTCTACCCGCCCTTTTAAATGACCCACAAATATAAAGTATCTGACTATTACATTATGAATCACCAATCCAACTTGATGCTAATTATTTCATATCTTTTATTTTATTTACAACATCATAACAGCGTTTGTCGATCAGAAAACGTAAAGTATATCAGTCAAAAAAGTTAAATTAAACTCTAGAATCACAGAATTAAGTATAAACATTATGAAAAGTATAAATATTTCGAAAATGGAAAAAATCTTAAAAAGTATTAAGATGATAAAATAACGTATGCAAAAAGGACATAACAGACTCATCTAAAATTTGATGTTAGGTGAGTCTTTATGTCCTTTAGCATCCACACTCACCTGAAACCTCCACAAAATGAACAACAACCTCCCTCCTCTCCCCTGAGTAACCAACACCTCCTTACCCCTGAATAACCACCCTCCCTCTACCCTGAATAACCACCCTCTCTACTCCCTGAATAACCACCTCTCCCTTTACCCTGAATAACCACCCCTCTCCCCTATACTCCCAACACCCCCTTCCAATCCTCCCCTGAACAACCACCACCACCTGAAGTCTTGGATGGGAGCTGGACACATCATCAGTACTCGTCACCTTCAGCCACAAAGGTGAGGTGGCAGGTGAAGGTGGTGAGCATTTCTTGGGTCTCCACGGCTACCTCATAACTCCTACCCACGTCACCGTAGAAGGTCCTGTTGCTGGGGAGAGGAGAGAGAGAGAGTTTGTTAGTGGGTCGTGCTGTACCTTAGAGAGAGAGAGAGAGAGAGAGAGAGAGAGAGAAAAAAGAGAGAGAGAGAGAGAGAAAAAAAAAGAGAGAGAGAGAGAGAGGGAGAAAGAGAGAGAGAGAGAGAGAGAGAGAGAGAGGTTTAAATAGAGAGAGAGAGGAAAGAGACTAATTAGTTTGGTAAATGAAGAATGAAGGAAAGAAGAAAGAGGGAGATGATTATAAAGAAGGAATATGAGGAAGGATTTAGGTAGATAGATAGAAAATTGAGGAAATTAGAGATAAAAAAAGATTAAGGTTATACATGAAAGAAAGAGAGATAATGAGAAATAATTGATATAGATGTTAATATATAAAGGGTGTAATGACCTTAAACATTCATATCAACATTACCCACACACACACGAATGTTTATACTGACATCAACAACATCCAAACATTACCCACACACACACGAATGTTTATACTGACATCAACACCATCCAAACATTACCTAAACACGCGAATGTTTATACTGACATCAACACCATCCAAACATTACCTAAACACGCGAATGTTTATACTGACATCAACAACATCCAAACATTACCTAAACACGCGAATGTTTATACTGACATCAACAACATCCAAACATTACCTAAACACAAAAATATTCTCTAAGGAAACACACACACACATAACTTAGTCTTGTAATTATCATAGGTGTTTAAAATTCTCTTTTTTTTTTTATTTTGTTGTTGTTCCTTCCCCCAAAAGTTCCCTATATTGCGTTCATAATTCCCAGATGGTAGAGGAAAGTTTCCCTACGGTTACCAATATTTCTCTCCCTGGGGAAAGTTTAGTTTTATCGTTCAATGTTCCCGACAGAACCAAGCGACTTTTTTTTTTTTTTACTTTGTTTTACTCAGGTGGAAAAATTCTAGGCCAAATGATTTTTTTCTTTGTGTGTTTAAGCGGAGAGGGAAAAAGAAGTTTGTTTTACCAGATTAATAGTTTGTGCCCTTTGTGTATTTTCCCCTGATATGTGTTTAAGCTGAGGAAAAAAAAAGCTTATTTAGGAAGATTAATTGTTTCTGTCGTTGTAGGTATTTAAACATAGACGGGAAAAAAGTATAGATGGGGAAATTAATTATTTCTGGTGTTGAATATTTTCCTCTTGATGGTAAAATAGTTGTTCTTATTTATGGTGAACTTTTAGTCAACTTAATTACAAGTTGAAGAAGAATGACAGTAAGTGAATCTTAACACGAAATGCTCACGGAAACACACACACACACACACACACACGCACACACACACACACACAACAACTTATAAATCTCGAAACGACCATTTCAGACAAACTATAGTCGCTGTCTTCAGAATTATTCCCATAATTACAGTTTTATCGCCAGTACATATCTCTCTCTCTCTCCGTCTCTCCATCTATACAAAAGACATTTGCATCTCCAGCGAGTACAATACATCCAAGCTGGAATCTGATGATGGGACAGTATTTCCAGGCAATTAATTCTGGAAATCTGGCGATAACTAGTTGGTTGTGAGAGCGATGGAGATAGAGAGTTCCTATTGTGGGGTATCTGTCCTTGGAATATATATATGGATAATGGATATTGTTGGAAATTTGTGGATAACGCTAAAAATTATCCGTATATTTGAATTTTCACATCTCTCTCTCTCTCTCTCTCTCTCTCTCTCATCACTTTATCTTTTGTTTTAATCTTCAATATCTGTGAGAGGTTTGAGTTAGGCAGACGTCGTGGGATGGCCTCCATTGTCACCCTGAATCAGCAAGAGTCTGTATGGAAAATCAATTATGTGAAGCCTCGATTTTCTGGTAGTTCCATTGTCACTTTGGTAGCGTGTGGGAGTGAGGGAAAGGAGGTGAGGTGAGGAGGTGGTGGTGAGGGAGTGTGTGGTGGAGGGGAGGTGTGGGTGAGGGAGAGGAGGTGAGGAAGGGTGGGTGAGGGAGAGGAGGTGAGAAGGGTGGGTGAGGGAGAGGAGGTGAGGAAGGGTGGAGGAGAGGAGGTGGGAGGAGTGAACCGGGGGGTGAGAAGAGGAAAGAGGATGGGAAGAAGGAAGTAAGAGGAGGGAAGGGAAGATGGAGGGAAGCAAGAAGAGGAAAAAATAAGGGATGCACCTCCCCCGCCCCCCGCCATCCTCCGTACCCCCAAGAACAACTCAGTTTCGGTGATTCGTTTAGAGTGAAACACCGACTCAACTGAAGCAACGTGAAAAGGTCTTAACAATCCTTTTGAGGTTAATCCGGGTTAAGTGAGAATTTGTCTTGACGATGTTTAGGCAATAAATTAAGAGGAGTGTTTATGTTGGAGCTAAACTCTTTATAGTTGTGTTAGTGGCGGAGAAGAATTGTATATATATATTTTTGTTACCAGATGACAATTTTATCCATCAACTTTGTCTCGTCTGATTTAAATAAGGAAATAGCATAGCTGGTGAACTTATTTACTCGGTGTGGACTTACATCTCTAAATAAATGTCAGTAAAGTTATTGAAGTTTATAAGAATCAGGTAAGTAAAATTTACATATCCAATTTAGACCTTGAGACGCACGGTGGGCAGGTAACACTCCCCAGCGAGAGGAGAGAAAACAACATTTATTGAATTACAAATTAGGATGATCGCGTCGTTGGCCTGAAAGATGTCAGGTATTACATCTGCAACGGTAATGAAGCTCTTCCTTCTTCTTCTCCTTCTTCCTCTTCCTCCTCCTTGTTCCTCTTGTTCCTCTTCCTCCTCCTCATCTTCATCTTCGTCTTCTTACTCCTCCTCATTCTTCTTCCTCTTCCTCCTCCTTCTCAGGAAAACAATAAGGGGAAGAAGAGAGGGAAGATGGATTCGAACCAGTGAGAGGTGGATTCGAGCTTCTTTGAGTAGACTGAAGCGCCAGTAAGATGTAGTAGAAGTGAGAGGCGAATTGAAGACTGTCTCGAGGAGAGTTTTGACCTATTTTACCACAAGGAAGATTTATTTCTACTCTCTGCTTGATCTTACAGCTTCATAAGAGTGATGAACTTGACTTAACGTGGAGATAAACGCTGAATTACAAGTCCATATTTACTTATTTAGAAACATTACATACACTTAAGAGTTAATGGACCTTTAGCACTTTAAGAGCACCTAAAAATTCACTTAAGTGTTCTCGTACCTTGACCACTTTAAATACTCCCAAAAACTCAATTAAATTCTCGCACTTTGATCGCTCTAAAGTCTAAATAAACCTCGATCACTTTAATTAAGTTTACAAACTCATCTAAGATTACAAGTGCCTCTAGGTTAGGTTAAGAATCTCTTCTATGTCTAAAATTACTTACCCAGAATTTACTCACACACACACACACACACACACACAGACGTCCCCAAACTTCAAATTACAGAATACAGTTTTAGGAAGGTTTGGAACAAGGGATAATAAGGCTCACTGTGAGGCTAAAAGACCTCAGAAACTTTGCCCAAATTAGAGTCTAAACTAATTTCTGGAACCTAACAACTTTAATGGATTCCTGTGGCCTTCCTGGCCATGGTAAAGTCCTCTTTCTACGGACATGAGGCTTAGGGTAAGTTCAGGGATGCCGCGACAGACATTCAAACATTCAAACATTTCTAGGACGAACATTCAAACATTCAACGCGAGAAACATTCAAACATTCAATTATTCCAAACATTCAACAGGACAAACATTCAAACATTCAATTATTCAAACATTCAAACATTCTCACTTACATAAAACACTCTAATCACCAAACATTTTTTCCAACATCTTAATCATCATACTATATTCGTTAAAAAACATAAACGAAAGAGAATAAGGGATAAACAATAAAGATGGGGTGTGGGATGTATAGAGGAACAGATGAGGCAAGATGAATCAATTTCCCCAAATCTTATGAGTAATGATCCATTCACACGGTACCTCCTGATAAATTGACTCTTGTGTGATGTTTTTCGCAAAGAAGGTCTGTATTATTATTGACTCTTTTATTTGGAAGAAAGAGAGAGAGAAACATTAACAAACAACAAAGATACTTTAAACTCTCCTTTTCTCCCAGCCTTCATCTTTAATAAAACCCAACTACACATCAACGGTAATACCTAAAATAAAAAAAGTAAAAAAAAAGAGAGAAACGAAATAAAAAAATGATAAAACCTAAATATTTACACAACTATGGACTAGAATTCAGGGCTATGTACAGAACCCTCTCAACGGGATACTGGATACATTTATCGCTCACTGGAACACTTTTATGTGATCCTAAAACATCGTCGTTGGCTACTGGAATCCATATAGGAATAACACAACATTTCTATAGGCTCTGGTAGGGATTATAGCATCTGGGTGTTGGGAGACTGAAAGGACAAGAGTATTTTAGGTTTATGGATAATTGGATATGTTTATAGGGGATTGGATCAATTCTTATAGACACTTAACCGATTAAATTAGCTATAAGGACCGTGTGGGTATATAAACAATGTACGTAAACAGTACAGGTATAGAGTGTACACAGACAGTGCATGTACACACTGAGAGTTGTACGGGGCTTAAAAATTATTATAATACCTGGAATAGTTTCAAATTATTGGAATATTTCTATGACCTTCAGTGTAGTTCAGTAAGCTTCAGTATAGTTCCATAACCTTCCAGTATAGTTCAATAACCTTCCAGTATAGTTCAGTAACCTTCAGTATAGTTCAGTAACCTTCCAGTATAGTTCAATAACCTTCCAGTATAGTTCAGTAACCTTCCAGTATAGTTCAGTAACCTTCCAGTATAGTTCAGTAACCTTCCAGTTCAATAACCTTCCAGTATAGTTCAAAACCTTCAAACAACAACAACCAAACCAACACCCAGTATAGTTCAATAACCTTCCAGTGTAGTTCAGTAACCTTCCAGTATAGTTCAATAACCTTCCGTGTAGTTCATAACCTTAGTGTAGTTCAACCAGGTG